GCGGACCGGGTCGGTCGGGTCCCGAGCCCGGGTGATGCCGAGCTCGGGTAGGACCGAGCTCCACGTAGGTCGGGTCGGGTCGGGGCACCTCCATGGTGCCCCGGGTCTGTATTGCTCTTGGGCACCTCCGTGGTGCCCCGGGTCCGCGTTGCTCTCGGGCACCTCCATGGTGCCCCGGGTCCGTGTTGCTCTTGGGCACCTCCGTGGTGCCTCGGGTCCGTGTTGCTCTTGGGCTCCACCATGGTGCCCCGGGTCCGTGTTGCTCTTGGGCTCCACCATGGTGCCCCGGGTCCGTGTTGCTACCCCGGGTCGGGTCGTGGGTATAATATATCCATCATGAGTCCCCCACTCTCTTCGTTGCGAGTAGGAGTCAACGAATGAGATTAGATATCCGGACCCGACCTCCATGTGCGAATGTAACCGAACTCACCATGGCCGAGGTGCCTTGTGCCGAGGCGTCTTGAGTCGAGGTGTCTTGGGCCGCTCCACCTCCTTGCTCCGCTCCCCCCGGGTCGGTTTGCTCCGCGCCCCGACCTTCCTCACGCACGTGGCCCGAGCTCAAAGTAGCCGACTTTGTTCTCCCTTGGTGATGTACTAGACTTGGATGTTTTTTGAATATTTTGAATGAACAATTGACTCCTTTGCTTTGGTGACGTGATGGTTGCCACCTTTTACCTGTTATTGCCTTTCTTTGGGATACTTGTGTTTTTTTTTTTGTTTTTTTTTTTTTTCTTTTTTGCCATGTGTTAGCCTCTTCGACGGGCCGGACCTCGTGCCCCCTTATGGTACATTAGCCTCTCGGGCTATGTCCTTCCGGACTACGCCACCGGGCTCTTCCGTCAGGGTTTGTACGCGAGGCCGGACCTCGTGCCCCCTTAGGGTACGTTAGCCTCTCGGGCTAAGTCCTTCCGGACTACGCCACCGGGCTCTTCAGTCGGGGTTTGTACGCGAGGTCGGACCTCGTGCCCCCTTAGGGTGCGCCAAACCACTTGGGCCCAGTCTTGTCGGACCAAGCCACCGGGCTCCTCCGTCGGGGTTTGTACGCGAGGTTAGACCTCGTGCCCCCTTAGGGTACGCGTTAGCTGCTCGGGCACAGTCTGTCAAGACCGTGCCACTGGGCTCTTCCGTCGGGGTTGGTACGCGAGGTCGGCCCTCGTGCCCCCTTAGGGTGCGTCCTCCGTCGGGGTTGGTACGCGAGGTCGGGCCTCGTGCCCCCTTAGGGTTCGCTGGGGTGGAAGACATGAGTGAGCACTCGTTCCCCCCTGTTTCGTGATTTTTTCTTCTTTTTTTTTTTTAAGGGAGATAAAATGCATGAGAACCAACTTTGTAACAAAAGGTCCTGCGCACAATATATTTCGACACATGCGATTTTATTCCGGCTATTGCCGCTCACTAAGACATTATTGGGGGGAGGGGAATGGTCCTCCTCTTATAGTAACAACGCCAAGACCCACCTCTCACGTGGTAGGTCTACTGGTAGAATTTTAGCAGATGCTCTGAGTTCCAGACCTTGGCTATCATTTTTCCTTTGGGAGTTTTGAGCTTGTAGCTGCCCGGACGGACCACGGCTGCTATAATGTACGGGCCCTCCCAATTAGCGGCAAACTTTCCTCCGGCTTGGGGCTGGCTCGCCTCCCTTCGCCTGAGCACATAGTCACCCACTTGAAAATAGCGGGGTCGGACCCGTTTATCGTGGTATGCCTTGGTCTGCCTCTGGTAATTTTCGGCTCGGATCGCAGCTGCTTCGCGTCTGTCATCAATCAGGTGGAGGTCAATTCTATGGTGCTCCTCGTTCGTGTCAGGGTCGTAGTCCTCCTCCCGCCGGGAAGGTATGACTACCTCCGCTGGAGCTCGGGCTTCGAAACCGTAGGCTAAGGAAAAAGGTGTCTCCCCAGTAGCCCTCCGGGGGGTGGTGCGGTAGGCCCAAAGAATGGCGTCGAGCTCCTCTACCCACGCTCCCCCCGCGGATTCCAGTTTCTTTTTCAGGCCGCCCACAATGGTGCGATTGGCATTTTCCACCTGGCCATTTGCTTGAGGGTAGCACACGACAACCCGGCTGTGAGTAATGTGCCATTCTGCACAGAACCCCTCGAACTCTTGCCCCTCGAATTGGCGTCCGTTGTCGGTGGTGAGTTGTATCGGGACCCCAAAACGGCACAAAATGTTTTTGTACACAAAGTGCTTGCAACGGGCACTTTTATGGTTGCCAGCGGTTCCGCCTCTACCCACTTGGTGAAGTAGTCCATTGCTACTATGAAGTACTTCCTTTTTCCCGACCCCATGGGCAGAGCTCCTACTAGGTCCACTCCCCACCTGGAGAAGGGGATGACCGAGCTGATGGGGGTGTAGCTCGTGGCCGGCCGGCCGAGGGCGACTTGGAAGTGCTGGCAGGTCTCGCAACTCCGGGCGTAGTCGGCGCACTCCTTGGCCATTTTGGGCCAAAAGTACCCCTGTAAGATGGCCCTCCGGGACATGGCGAAGGCCCCCTAGTGGGCTGAACAGGTCCATTCGTGGATTTCTTCCATGACTGACCTGGCTTCGTCTGGGTACAAGCAGCGCAGTAAGGCGCCGTTATAGGACCTCTTGTAGAGTGTGTCCCCCATGACCACGTACGTGGGGGCTCGTCGTTTCACCAGCTTGGCGTCGACCTCGTCGGGAGGTAGCGCACCTGTCTTCTTGTACTCCTTGAGGTGGTCCAACCAGCAGGGAGGTCAGGTCTGTACAGGTTGGACCGGGTAGGCGTCCAGGCTCAACCTCTTGAAATCTTCAATTCGGGCTATTTTTGAGATATGTTCCGGGGCCCCTTGGGCGTGCTTGGATAACATGTCAGCATCTGTGTTCTGGTCTCGGGGTACCTGTAGGACCTCGTAATTGATCAGCTACTCCAGTAGCTGGAGCACCACGTCCCGGTACCTCCTCATTCTTTCATCACTTGCTTCAAATTCACCTGTGACCTGTCCCACCACGAGCCTAGAGTCACATCGGATTTTGAGCTTCTCCACCCTCATATTTAATGCGAGGCGGAGCCCCCCCAGGAGTGCCACATACTCGGCCTCGTTGTTGGATAATTTGAACGCGAAACGGAGGGCGTAGTAGGCCCGAAACCCCTCCGGTGTTATGAGGACGACTCCACCCCCGCAGCTTTTGGTGCTGGAGGACCCGTCCGTTGAGAGGGTCCACCACTCCTCGTCTTCATCCCGAAACCGCTCCGTTGCCTCCCGGGCAGTGCACTCGACTATAAAGTCGGCCAGCGCCTGCCCCTTAATGGCGGGTCGGGGCTTGAACTGGATGTCGAACTGGCTCAGCCGCATGGCCCACCTGACCAACCTGCTGGCCAACCCTGAGGCCCTCAGTACTGCGTCTAGCGGTTGGTTGGTGAGGACCTGCACGGGGTGGGCCTGGAAGTAGTGGTTCAGCTTCTTTGCCGTCACATCTACCGCGAAAATGGCCTTTTCCACGGGTGTGTACCTGATTTCCGCTCCCCGTAGAGCTCGACTCGTGTAATATATGGGCCGCTGGACCCCCTCGTCGTCCCGGACCAGCACGGAGCTGACCGCGGCCTGCGAGATGCCCAGGTATAGATATAGGACCTCCCCCTTAACGAGTTTGGCCAGGGGGGAGCGACATCAGGTACGTCTTGAGGTCTTCGAACGCCTTCTGGCACTCTTCGGACCACTCAAAGCCCTTAGTCTTTTTGAGGACTCCAAAGAACGGCAAGGACTTTTCGGCCGACCTCGAAAGGAAACAGCCCAGGGCTGCCAACCGCCCGTTGAGGCGCTGGACCTCCCGGAGGGACTTCGGAGGTTCCATGTCCAGGATGGCTTTGACCTTGTCGGGGTTGGGCTCAATGCCCCTCTTCGAGACCATGTACCCCAAAACTTTCCCCCCGTGCACCCCGAAGGTACACTTTTTGGGGTTCAACCGTAAATTGAAGCGTTGCATAATTGAAAATACCTCTGTAAGGTCATCTGTGTGGAGGTCGGCGTTGGTGCTCTTAACGATCATATCGTCGACGTAGGCCTGGAGGTTGCGGCCGAGGACCTGCTTGAACACCTTGGCCACCATTCAGGTGTAGGTAGCACCCGAATTTTTCAGTCCGAAAGCCATGACCTTGTAGTAATAGACCCCCTCTGGCATGGTGAAGGCCGTTTTCTCCTCGTCGGCCTCCTCCATGAAGATTTGGTGGTACCCCCTGAACGCATCTAGGAAGCTCATAAAGGCACAACCTGCAGTCTCGTCCACCAGCTGGTCAATGTTGGGGAGGGGAAAGAGGTCCATAGGGCAGGCCTTGTTGAAGTCGGTGTAGTCCACGCACATCCTCTAGGTGGGCGGCTTTGGGGCGAGGACTACGTTGGCCAACCAGGTGGGGTATATGACCTCCCTAACATGACCAATCTCTAGCAGTGTGTCGACCTCCTTTTTGACGAACTCCCTCCTCTCGGCGGAGAAGTACCTTTTGCACTGCTGGATTGGCCTGACCGCGGGGTCGACGGCCAACTTGTGTGTGATCACGTCTCGGCTGAGGCCCGGCATATCCTCGGGACCCCATACAAAGACCTCCTTGTAGCTCCTGATGGTGTTGATTATCCGTGCCCGGAGCTCGCCCGGGAGGCCGACCCCTACCTTCACAACCCGGTCGGGTCGGCTGAGGTCGAGGATGACCTCCTCTGTCTCGACCACGGGCTCGGCCCGAGGTCGACCTACCTCCTCCCGAAATGCCTTCTCGGCGATGGTATGTACCTGGAGGTCCTTTTGACCAATCTGGCGGCACGCCTTCAAGTAGCAGCTGCGGCTTACCTTTTGGTCCCCTCGGGCGACCCCGACCACGGCTGGTGTCGGGAACTTGAGGCACAGGTGCTCCATGGAAATTACGCACCTGAGGTCTTCTAGGGCGGGTCGACCGAGTAAGATGTTGTGGCCGCAGTTGATTTTCACAACTACGAACTCGACTTCCCACCTCCTGGTGTGAGGTGGGGTGCCTATCTCCACCTCCAAATTGATCAACCCTCCGTCTCAATTGAGTCCCTCGTGAACCCGGACAGGGGGGTCCGTACTTGCTCCAGCTGCCCTCTCGAGAATCCCAACTGGGTAAACGTGTCGTAGTACATGACGTTCACCGAGCTACCCGTGTCTACGAGCACCCGGTGCACCACCACGTTGTTGATGTCCAGCTTGACCACCAGGGCGTCACGGTGGAGGAGGGGCCCATCTGGCAGGTCGGCGTCGGTGAACGTGATGGGCTCCCTTTTTGGCTTCTTCTCGTGGGGGGTCCGTGTGACCTCCCCCACGTACAAACTCCTCGCCCACCTCTTCCACTCGGCTGGCGAGTCTCCTCCCTCGGGCCCCCCAAAGATGACGTAGATGGCCCGTTTCTTCGGGGGCTGGGAGTCCTCCGTCGTCTTCTCCTCCTCCTCGGAGCTGTGGTCGTGGTGGTCCCTCTTGCGGGGAGCCGAGGTGGATGGCGCCTGGCCCACCCCCCTTCCGCCATACATTGCCCTGCTTCTGGCCCTGGGTCTGCTCCTGCGCCTGGCCGGGCTTCTTAATGAATTGGCCGAGGTAGCCCATTTGGATGAGCTGCTCGATTTGTCTCTTTAGGAGGATGCATTCGTCTGTATCGTGTCCCTTCTGCCGGTGGAACCTGCAGTACTTGTTGGGGTCCCCCCTAGCCGATATCTTCATGCACTCCTCCTTCGGGAATACCACGAGTCCCTGGTCCTCCGCGTGCGCCAAGATAGTACCCACAGGTTGTGTCAGCGGGGTGAGATAGCGTGTGGGTTCATCCTGGGCCCCTCAGTGTACTCACGTCGGTGTGGTCGGGGCGCCTTGCGCTCCTCCTGGGGTGCCTTGTCTTTTCGACCTCTTCCTTCTTCCTGCTCCTTCTTCTTCTTCTCGGCAGCCTCTGCGTCAGCGTACCTCGCTGCCTTGTCCATCAGGTCGGTGTAGGTCCTGGGGGGGTACTTGATGAGGTCCTAGTGAAAAGCGCCCGACCTCAAGTTGTTCCGGAAAATTACCATGGCCGACTTCGCTCAAAGTCGGCGACCCCCATGGCCTCTTTCTTCCACTTGCTGAGGTACTCGGCTAGTGATTCCGAGCTCCCCTGCTTCAAATCACACAGGTCGGCAATTTGCTTCTTCTGTTGTATGCTGGTGGCGAAATGGGATAGGAATTGCCGGGTGAGGTCCGCAAATGTGGAGATGGACCCCGCTGGGAGTGATCTGAACCAGTCATGCGCCTGCCCGTCCAGGGTGACGAAGAACCCCCTACACAGGATGGCGTCTGTCGCCTCGGTGATCATCATGGCGGCTCTGTACCTGGTCAGGTGTTGTAAACAAAGAAAATTGAATATATATTTAGAAATTCAAAGTTCTGGTTTACATATCAAGTATCAATGCGGTGTGGGTACATGTCTCTGGATATCCTCTGATTCTTCAATTGGTGCCTTGAACACTCCACCATGGAAGGGCCTACGGGTTTCAAGTGGCTTGATCTTCAAAGAAGGGCTTGTATATATAGCTTGTTCTTCTTGAAGGGCCTCCGGGTTCAAATGGCTTGATCTTCAATGGAGGTTTGGATCAATAGGCATAGGCATGATCATTATGGAGGAGAGACTTCTACTTTCAGTATCACATTTTTATTGTGATCCTGAATAATATTTTTCTAGATGTTTACATCACTTTTCCTAGGATGTGTGTGAGATTACATAGAAATGAGAGCTCCTATTTATAGCTGTAGGATAGAGAGTTTTGATAAGCTCAAACTCTTTTGATATTATCTAATTAACAAATTAGATAATATCAATATTATCCAAAATATTTCAAATATATTCAAATATACTAATATTGATAAATAATCAATATTTATCAAAATTTAAGTGTCTACAAATGCCCCCTCGAGACTTGCTTGTACACCACTTGAGAGCATATAAAACTTGAAAGTATGTAGTGCAAGAAAGTCTCGACACTACAACTTAAAGATATAAGGCCGTTTCAACTCGTGCCAAGGAGCCTTGAAAGATATGAGGCCGTTTTAACTCGTGCCAAGGAGTATCATTTAGCCTCCTCCATTTCAAATTTCATATGGGGTTTGCCCCCATACCGGTTGAAAGTGCCTATGAAGAGATGAGAGGCAGAGCTGTCCCACTGGGCGTGCCAATTTGTAAACAAAGAAAATTGAATATATATTTAGAAATTCAAAGTTCTGGTTTACATATCAAGTATCAATGCGGTGTGGGTACATGTCTCTGGATATCCTCTGATTCTTCAATTGGTGCCTTGAACACTCCACCATTGAAGGGCCTCCGGGTTTCAAGTGGCTTGATCTTCAAAGAAGGACTTGTATATATAGCTTGTTCTTCTTGAAGGGCCTCCGGGTTCAAATGGCTTAATCTTCAATGGAGGTTTGGATCAACAGGCAACAGGCACGATTGGATTGGAGGAGGGGCTTTTACTTTCAGGATCACATTTTTATTGTGATCCCTGAATAAGCTTCAAAACTTTAAGATATTTCTATGAATTTTTCCTAGGATGTGTCTGTTACATAGAAATGAAAGACCCTATTTATAGCTGTTGGATAGAGAGTTTTGATAAGCTCAAACTCTTTTGATATTATCTAATTAAACAAATTAGATAATATCAATATTATCCAAAATATTTCAAATATATTCAAATATACTAATATTGATAAATAATCAATATTTATCAAAATTTAAGTGTCTACAGGTGTGCCCGTGGGTCCGTGGTCCCCGAGTACGCTTTAATGGTGGGAAAGCGAAAATCTCGAGGTAAGGGCTCCTCCATGATGGCGTTTGCAAACGGGGAGGACAACACATCCTGGGGCTCTGGGGATCCGTCCCTCTCGTCGAACTTCCTCTAGAGCTCATCCATCCTCCTCCGCAGCTGCTCGACCTCTACCCGATGGTAGCTCGGAGCTCTACCATTCGTTTCCCCTGATCGTTCGACCCGGGGGGCCTGTGCACGTCGAGGTGGGACTCGGGTCCCCCGTCCCGGTGACCCCCGCGGGCCTGCCTCTTGTCGCGGCGGGGCCCGGGGTCCGTGGCTCGGCGACCTCCGGGTGACTGATTGCTGTCGTGCCTGCCTGCGGGAGCAGGATTCTGCTGGTAGAGGCTCATTAGCAGCAGGCCTTGGGCCCAACCTCTCCCGGGCTGGCACCCGGTCGCCCAACGTCTCCAGGGCGGGCCTGGTTTGGGTTGGGGCCCTTCCATCGTCGTCACGCTGGTGGTCTCGGCGGGAGTCCCCTCTTCCCCGCCTCTCCGATGGTCGAGGCGAGTTGACTTCCCCCTGGGTGACAAGTGCCTGGGCGGCCGGGTGCTCGGGCCGCTGCGCCCCCGGGTGGGAGGAGGTGGAGGCGACGCCGGCGCCCCTCCGGTGGCGCCTAGGGCGGCCTGTTCCTCTGCTTGGAGGCCCGCTGCGACGCGCGCCAGCGCGGTGGAGGCTTGTTCGAAGACCGTCACCCCCTCCCGGATGAGTGCGCGAGCCGGAGTGGGGGCGACGGGGGGTGGTGGCGACGCACCACTGCTACGGTGGTTGGTGAGCTGGGCCCTCAAATCCTCCCCCGACCTGGTGGAGGCGGCCAGTTGGATGCTTGGGGCGGGGGCCCCGTTGGGGCCGTTCCCGTTCGCGACGAGCTGGGTGCCGCGGGAACCATTGGTATGACGAGAGCTGGATCTCGATCGTGTCATCGCTGTCGATGAACAATAGTGGGGAGAGCGCTTAAGCGTGTATAACAGTTCTCAACAAGAGCACCAATGATGGATTTAGTTAACCCGGGGGTATACCCGAATCAATAAATCCGGATAAGAATATAATAAGAATAATAAACGAATAATATAGAACGATGTCGTAAAGGTCGCGGTGGACCGTATATTATATTAATTGCCGTAGTATTTGGCTATTACAAAGATTCGGTAGGACAAAAGTGTGTAATAATCGTATAATGTGGAATGAATTGCCCTTTGTTAGGACAAGGAGGGGGGTTTTTATACAAGCAACCCCCCCAACCGCCTCCCCTTAAATCGGGGTTGGTTAGATCTCAAGTTTGACCGGGCCCTGGCGGACCGGGTCGGTCGGGTCCCGAGCCCGGGTGATGCCGAGCTCGGGTAGGACCGAGCTCCCCGACCCGAGCTCCACGTAGGCCGGCTCGGGTCGGGGCACCTCCATGGTGCTCCGGATCCGTGTTGGTCTTGGGCACCTCCATGGTGCTCCGGGTCCGCGTTGCTCTCGGGCACCTCCATGGTGTCCCGGGTCTGTGTTGCTCTTGGGCACCTCCGTGGTGCCCCGGGTCCGCGTTGCTCTCGGGCACCTCCATGGTGCCCCGGGTCCGTGTTGCTCTTGGGCACCTCCGTGGTGCCCCGGGTCCGCGTTGCTCTCGGGCACCTCCATGGTGCCCCGGGTCCGTGTTGCTCTTGGGCACCTCCGTGGTGCCCCGGGTCCGTGTTGCTCTTGGGCTCCACCATGGTGCCCCGGGTCCGTGTTGTTCTTGGGCTCCACCATGGTGCCCTGGGTCCGTGTTGCTACCCCGGGTTGGGTCGTGGGTATAATATATCCATCAATACTTAATAAAGTTGTGCATTGTTTTGAATGAAAATGGTGTTTGAATGGCTGGAATATGATTTTTGTATCAGAAATTCACGTATTTGATTTATGAATTCAATGCTTTGTTTAGCCGAGCTTATATCTTATTTTAAGCTACTAATAAGCTATAAGCTCTGTTTGGTAATGTACCAAAATAAGCTTCAAAATAAGCTCCTAGCTTCTTAACTCTTTTTTTTCCATCTTTATCCTTATTATTTTAAAAAAATTACATAATTTACTCTTCCCAATTAAAACCATTTTCCCTTTTCCTTTATCCGCAACTTTCACCACAAATATTAATATTATTATTATTATTATTATTATTATTATTATTATTATTATTATTATTATTATTATTGTTACTTCATTATGAGATGCTAGATCATGATTATGCTAATAGTTTTATTTTAAAATGTTAATTTTTTTTAAAGACAAAATTGTTAAATTTTAATAGGTAAACAAACTAATTTAAATTTTATGAAGATGTCCTTTTTAGTCATTTTACATTTATCAGCTTATCAAAAAGCTAATTTTACCAAACACTTTCAATAATAACAGCTAGTTTAACAGCTCTTCAGTTTTCAGCTCCGAGCTTATAGCTTTTCAGCTTTCAGCTCATTTTCAGCTTTCAGCTCATTTTCAGCTTTCAGCTCCTTTTCAGCTTTCAACTCCTTTTCAGCTTTCAGCTCCTACCTTATAGCTTTTCAGCTAGGTTTGCCAAACAGAGCCGTTATTACACTAGAACAGATGATTTAGTCAATGTATATTCTTAAATAGTGATTATGAATTTTCATTGTTACCAAGTAAATAAAATTTTACCTATTTTCCTTTTTTTATTGATCTCTCTAAAATACATGCATATTACAATTCCACAAAACAACATAGCATTTAAAAAAAAAAAA